GGTGCAGTAGGTGTGAAGCGAGGGGGGAAGGGGTGTCGCTCATTCCCGTTTCTCTCATACCACAGCCCTGGCGGAAATAAGCTGCGATCGAAAAGGGCCCTTGTGGAGTATTTTCGTAAAAGTGGGGAGACATCGCTGAAAGTGGAAGATTTTGATTTTACAGTCCCTAATGGGAGGAGGAGGAGATGTTTGAGGGTGAAAAGCTACAGCACAAAAGGCACAAGAACTGACTCAGAGAATGAGGATCCTCACAGTCAAGTGCAAGGCCTGCGAAATGGTGCAGAGGATGGAATTCAAGATGTTCAGACTGGAAACGAGCACCTGGCAGACGCTCCGTGCACTTTGGAAAGCCAAGAGTTGATCGGGAAAGGCATGAACGCAGAGGGCTGTTTGAAAACCAAAAAGAAGGGGGCAGGTGGAAAACGTGTTCAGAATAGGAAAACGGGGAAGAGCTCAGAAAAGAGGGATTGCGATAGCACCCAGAACAAAAGGCAGAGAAGAGCAGGGAACAAACAGGAAACGAGCTGTGTAGAGAGTAAGAGACTCTGTAGACAGACAGGCACGTGTGCGGCGGGCAGGCAGGGTGCGGAGCAGGGTGCAGACCCTGCGGGTGCAGGGACAACTTGGCTGTGGCCACGGTCGGGCAGGCAGCTGAGCGCGGTGCCAGCTTGCTCGCAGAGGGGGCGGCAGGGCCCGGCAGAGGAGGAACCTGCAGGGACAGCGTCTAACGACACATCTGCACAATCTGAGGAGAAAACCAGTGGGTTGGAAATAGGGGAAGAGGCAGGTGGAGGGAATCCAAGTAACCAGGATTCTAAACCTCAGACTGAAATGGCTGCTGATGCCTCGCAGTCGTGTGACAAGAGCAGCTTCACAACCCTTAAACCAGGTATGTGTGTGGATTTGAGCAGAACACGGGCCTAATGTTCTGACAGGAGTTCTACCCATACAAGCAAAGTTTTCTGTTTCAGGTCAGGCTGTTTCAACATCTGAATCTGTCTCATTTCTTTATCCAAGAACATTTGACTTAATGCAGATTTATTCACAACTGGAACTTACTCTCTTGATCGCTCTAGCCATGTAATACAATAACGTTCATTACCTTCACTGCATCAACTCTTAATATCATCGCACAGTTGGTCAGTTTGGTTCATAGAAAAGACTCGTTCTGGTTTGCTTCGTGTGCTGGAGTGTGTGGGCAACATTTAATACCTTAGTTGTAGTTTGAGCCTGTTTCTTCAGACTGTGGCAAAGTAACAGTTTCTCTTGTGAAGACTTTTCAGAGACTTGAAATGCAGAGGAGTGCTGGAGTGAATCTAAAGCATATTTATGTTCTGTACATCTAGAAGAAATCCTTGTCTTTGCATCACAACATAAAGTGATGTATGAGACATGATAGCAAAATACTTGGGTTCTTTTTCCCTTTTTAATGCTAAGGCATTATTTCTTTACAGAAGAGTCTATCCCACGGACACAAGTGGATAGGAGGAAAACAAGTCCATATTTTTCAAGTAAATACAGTAAAGAAGGTATACTCTTATATTTTTTATGGGGAGAGGGATAGGATGGCTCAAGGTCAGGTGATGTTATGGGAAATTTCTTCAGGTTTGGGCTGGCTGTGCTCAGGTGGCATCAGAGAGCTTGGCTCAGCACAACTGATCTTGTCCTCTTTTACACCTTCGTGGTTTGTATCTTGCAAACAGCTCTGAAGGCTGGTGTCAAACATCTCCATCTGCATATTGTGCCCCCACAAAGATGAATCTGCCTCAAAAGGTCTTCATTGGGGTTTATTATTTTCATTTAAGTTGGTAACCCCATCCTTTACTGTCCAATAAATCATCTTGTGTTGCTTCTGTGCACAGCTCCCAGCGCACCTAGAAGGAAGGCCTTCAGAAAATGGACTCCTCCGCGTTCTCCTTTTAATCTGATCCAAGAAACACTTTTCCATGATCCATGGAAACTTCTCATTGCAACCATATTTCTCAATAAAACTTCAGGTAAGTAGACTAATACAATTTCATGTCGTATAAATGGGGGGAAGGGGGTGTTACAGGGTCAGAACAACTGTCATTTTTAATAGCATCAATGAAAGAATAAATGTGTTACCTTATGTCAGTGTAAAAAGCAGTAATGTGTAATTCATAGCTCTTGCTTCTGAAAAAGCTCACTTCAGAAAGGATACACAGGTGATGAATAAAGAGAATGACCTGCACAGCCTTCTGCTCATGATAGTTTCTTTCACTAGGTAAAATGGCAATTCCTGTGCTCTGGAAGTTCCTTAAGAAATACCCTTCTCCTGAAATAACCAGGACTGCAGACTGGAAAGAGATGTCAGAGCTGCTCAAACCTCTTGGCCTCTATGAGCTCAGAGCAAAAACGATCATCAAGTTCTCAGGTAGGATTTCCCGGGTTTGTCAGTGGAATGGTCTAAATTACACTAGTGAGGCAAACAGCACTACTTTCAAACAGTGCTCTCTGATTTTCCCTTCTCTTGGGCAAATATTGGTGGTGGTTTAGTTTTTGGAACTTTGTGGTATGTTGGTCTTACATACGCAGAGCTGCTGATCCTGCTGTCTTAACTGTGAGAATGAAATAGCAAACACAGGGTTCTGCAAGAAACATTGAGTGGAAAAAGCTGCGAATGCCTACAAGAGTGACTGTGTTCTGCAGGTGGCTCTGTTTTGCATCAGGTGACCTCCAGA